TTTGTTTTGTATATAAGTTATTAAGAATAAACCAACATCCTAAAAATTTGAATAGTTAGTTGGTAATAATTATTATAAGTAATAAGTTGAAGAAGTAAATAGAGATATAGATGATGTATTTGAGATAAGAATTGATTTAGTTGGGTTAATTTGAATGTTAGCTATATGATAAAATAAGGTAGCTATAACAATGATTGATTATAATTCTTCTTTAGATTTGGCTATTTAAAGTGTATCATTTATATATACTAATACAGATACTGAGGTTTGAAATTGTTTAAGTTTTGGTTGAAGTAAACTAATATTTTACTTTGTAACCAAAGTGTATTCTGAAAAGTTTAAAACTATTTTGTTTATAAAAGAGGCATAATAAATTCTTCAAAACAGTGAAGTTATAGTTTCTACTTGATCAATGTTATTTTTAATATTGTAAGAGTTAGTAAGTTTCAAATTTGTAATAACTTGGTTATGTCAATTAATAAGCAAATTAGTAAGAATATTAATAAGATTGGATAACATATATAGACATAATAAAGATTTAGTAAAAAGTGTAAGGTCTACAGAATTATAAACTTTGCTCATGTTTTGAAATAAGAACTAGAGTTGTTTAGAGTTACAAAAAGTTTTTTCAATAATGTTATTAAGTATATATATAGAAATAGTTGTGCTGTTATTAGGTAAAACTATATAATTAAAAGGTGACAAAATTTTATAATAAGTAAAGATATAGTTAAGTTAGTTAGCTAAAAGTTTGGTATTGTAATAGAATTTACTTTTTTTTTTATATTAATATATATTTATTTTTAGCTCTATATTATATTTTATATTTTTTTTAATATTTTTACATAGTTTATAGATTATTTTATTCATTTTAATTATCTAATTAATAGGTTAATATTTATTTTATTAGTAGATTTCTTATAGTATTTTATTTTAGTCAATAGTTGTTAAATATCTAAAAATATAGTTGTTTAGTGTTATAAGAGTCCTGACTAAAGGTTCTAGGTCATACCTCAGATGCTTTAGGTTCCTTAAGACACTCTAAAATGATGGAACAATTAATTAATTATAATTAATTAATATTTATTAATTATAATGCAATATTTACTATAGTGTTATTATATAGTTTCTATGTATTACTATAGTTATTTTTAGATGTATTTAAGAAAACATTTGTAAGAAGGCTTCTGAACACTAAATGACCATAGAGAATTTTGTAGATGAACATATAGGCTACACAATGATATTTTTTTTATTTTTAGTTAATATATAAGTTATTGCATAATGGAATGCCAAGCATTAATAAAAATAGAAAGATACAAGATTGGTTTACCATTTATGCACAAGTATTATTGATAAAATGTACATAAAATTTCTTAATTTCTGCTGCATTTTAAACATTTATATGGTTCAGGATGATGCTACAACACATGGTAGCTTTAAAACTAATCAATTATTATGTTAAAAGCTATAAAAAAAATAGCTTTTTGCCTTTCTAAAAGGATAGTTTTTGGATAACTCTTAATAGTTTCTAAAAGTTCTTAACAGTTCTTAATAGCTCTTAATAACCCTTAATAGTTCTTAATAGTTCTTAACAGCTTTTAATAATCCTTAATTGTTTTTAACAGTTCTTGAACAACTCTTAATAACCCTTAATAGTTCTTAATAATTCTTAGACAACTCTTAATAATTCTTAAATAACTCTTAATAGTTCTTGAAAGTTCTATTTATATATATATATAATCTTCTTGTAATAATTGTTTAACCAAAAACTCTTTAATAAAATAACCTTTAACTACTATTTTTTACATATTATTCATAAAAACTATTCTTTATTTTATTCTTTATTTTATTTTTTTCTATATTTTATCTTTATTTCTTTTATTTTTATTTTTTTTTTTTATAATAATATAAAATGAAAAGCTGGTTTTTTTAATTAGTTATTTTGCAAATACTAGCTTTATATTATTTTTTTATTATTTTTATTTTTCTTGTAATAATATAAAATAAATAGCTAGTTTTCTTAAATAATTATTTAACAAATGCTAGCTTTATATTATTAAAATTTAAAGGTTACATATAACTATAAAGGGTCTGATTATTAAGGCTTTTCTTTCTCTGATTATACTCTACAAACATTTCTAAGTTTTAAAATCTAATAATTTTTGTATAGTGTAAACATTTTATTACATCTGATTTGCACAGACTAGACAGTAAAATTAGTTTAAAAGCTAGTTCTATTGTTGTATCTTATAGTGCCTAGAAGGCTATTGAATTTAAATTTTACTTTTAAATATTTATTTCTTATTTTTAGTTATTTTTATTTATTTTATTTTCCTTTAAATAAAAGATCTTCTACTTAGCATTCATGCATTTAAAATTATTACAGCTTGCTAGTTTTTAGTAAATTTTATTATAGTATAAAGTTTTTTAATATATTTGAGTAAACTAATAAGTTTGGTATTAGTTAAGTTGCCATCAAGAATAGGTTTTTTAGAGATAGAAAAAATTCTTTCTTCTTTTTATTAGTTTGGAATTTGATCAATGTAAGACAATAATTAAAAAAAACTATGATTGTATTAAGAAATACTGTTCTAGTATGTTTAATTATCTTAAGCTAATGCCTGATAGTTCACATGTTTTGTTATTAGAGAGTTAATTGATAACTTCAAAAACTTCTATAAAAAAGAATTTTTTGATTGCTGATTAATACTATATAGGATCAATGTTCAGTTTAGATTAATATTCTTGTTGTTATATTGTATTAAATAATTGTGATTAGATATTTTTAAAAGCTATTCAATCATTAAAGTATTGTTAGATGTGTTGTTTGATGAGTAATGGTTTAGTAATAATGTTGTTTAATTCTTAAATATTGTTAAACTTGATGGAATCTTTATGTTAATTATATAAGTATACTATTGATTATTGATGTTAGACTATTTAAAGTTTAGTACATCTTTTAATTATGTTATCATTAATTTGTTCTTTTATGTTTTTAACATTTTCTAAGTTACATATATGACAGAATATTTTTCAGTCTGTATTATTTGCAGTTATCTAGTTAGGTAAAAGGTTAAGATTTTGAAACAATACAGATATATTAAGATCTATTCTTAAAGTAATACTTAGGCCTAAAATCTAAATTAATTAATATTTATTTCTAAAACAATGTCTAAATTTAAAATCTAAATTAATTAAAATCTATTCCTAAAACAATATTCAAGTCTAAGATCTAAATTAATTAAGGTTTATTTTTAAAGCAACATCTGAACCTAAAATCTAGTATATTTGTAATCTTAGATATACTATATAAGTTAGATTTTACTTAATATTAAAAACTTAGAATATATATGTAAAATATAAAATTGCATATATATAGAAAAATATTAAAACTAATATTATATAAAACTTTGATACAAATTAATAATAAGACTATTAGTTACAAAAGATTAAAAAACTAAAAAAATAGAAATCTACTTTTTTTTTTAAATATTAACAGTGAGGCCATGCAATAGAAATCTACTTAAAAATCCTAAATAAAGAAATAATACAAACTTTTAATAATACTATTAAACTAATAGAAGTTTATAAATTATTTTTAAAGAAATAAATAAATAAACTAAATAACAGATATATAAAAAAACATATATATTAACCAGGTTATTAAAATTATTAGAAAAAAAAAATACAAAAATATACCATATATACCAGATCATCTAAATTGATAATTTGAAAAATCCTATTAATTCTAAATAATAATTAGCAGAAAATAATGAAAAAAATATTAAAAAAATAAGTACAAAAGTATAATAGTTTAATATTTAATTCTAATTATAAGTATTAATCTTAATTATAATAATACTAAGTCAACTATAAGTATAAAATACAGAAAACTCTGATAGGTTTAGTACAAAATCAAAAGTTTTTTATATAAATAAACTGCTTTAAAAATTTTGTAATTATAATATATTTACATTAGTATTGACTAAGACAGTTAATAAAGTAAATAGTTAATGATATAAAAATTAAAATGTTTAAATAAAAGACTTATAAACAGGTTCTAAGTATAATAATTAGTGTAAACCTTTAAGCAGACTATTTAAATTAAACAATAACTAAAATTATACAAATAATTAATTTTATATTCTTTTCATGATTGATCTTGTAATTGTAGTAAAAACAAATATTAGCTAAAACATACTATTAATAAAATTCTAAGTCACAAAGCTTATTTTAACATTAAAAAAAAAAAGAATTAAAGATAAGAAAAAGCATAGCTTATACTAAAATTTCACAAGAAATTTTTTTTATTAAAATGTAGAAAAAGATGTGATTTTCATGTTACACCTATTTCTTCAATCTAATTGGCTATGATCACGTGCCGAAATTTTTTGTGAAAGGTTGGCCTTGGTGTAATTTTCCTTTTACATTATCCATTTTTATTATGCAAATCGACCTTCGTTTATAATTGAAAAATGTCAACCATATCAAAATTTACATGAATCTAATAAAAACACATTTTTCGAAAAAAATTGCAAAATTGGCTTTTTAATGCGAGACACCCCATGTACAGCATTTAAAAAAAGTATTACGTGATAATGTCAAATGACATCTGCTTTATACGATGGTATAGCTAACTTATTTTATTAGCATCTATATATAAAATATTACGGTTAGTGATACGTTAGCTTTTTCTGTATTTATATCGATACTAATACGTACTTAATTTTTTAATTAATTTAAAAGTAAAAATGTTTTCAAAAATGATATATATATGTATATGTATTAAGATTTTCTATTATTTGTCCCATTATAAAAAACAAATATATGTAAAAATACATCCACATATAAAAGTTTTATAATTATAAACATTGTTAGAAATATATGTGTGAAATTTCTGCATGTACACAGGTAAGTAATAAATATAAATATAATTATATATTACTTCAAATCTTTTCCTTCACTTCCCCTTTCTTTCTTTTCCTATATTTTACACTTTAAATAAATCCGTTTGTTTCAATGGGCATTTCATATACTTTGGGACTCAATGATTTCCAATTTTCGTAAAGTTGTTGCGAGTATTTGATTTGATCGTTTACAAAATTCTGATACAAATGCGAAATAAAAGTAGAGCTTTTATGAAACAAGGTTAGTTCAGAATATAAACAATAACGCACAAAGATCTTTCGCATTCGTTGGTGTTCGATCTCTTCCTTGTCCTTTAAACCAAGATTTATATACAACATTAATTAAAAATAGCTGGTGATAGAATAAAGTCGGATAGTTACCTTTTGAATAGAAGTTTTTAATTTTTCTGCTTCCTGATCACCAGAAGATAATGACGCAATGCGAGCTTCTTGAGATATTATTCGAGTATTGATGGAATCAATCGTATCTATAGATAACCGTTCTTTTCGCTCGAAAGTTTCCTAAATCAAGGATGCATAATAAATCAACTGCTTATTGGTAACTAGTACAGATTAAAGATAAGGCTTACTCTAAAGGAAACAAGAAGATCACGTTGACGTTTTAAATTTTCTAAAACGGATTCAAGCGTTGCCGCCGACTTTATTTAGAAATAAAGCATTAGTTGATATTTTTCTGCTTGAAATTCAAATAACATTCTGTTCATAAGTGACTCACCGCATTTTCCATGATAGTGCTTGTTGTTTGGAAATGATTTGATACATGCTCCAACCCTTGCACTACTTGTGAACAATTATAACAATCTTCAATATAGCATCCCTTTTCTTTTTCTATCAAAGAGCTATCAAAGATAACCAATTAAAATTTAATAATAATAATACATATATTTAAATGATATATCAAACATACTTTAAGGCCAAGTGATATCGCATATAATCGATTGCCATGCCTTGAAATAATAAATTATTGAAAAAAGAAAATTAATTGTTAAATTACAATTCTTTCAGATCCACACGTAAAATACACTATATTACATGCTATATAATAATTGTTAATGTTTAACGCAAACCTTCTTGACGACGGGCGATACGCTCCATTATATTACACATATTTCTGTAATGTTCGACAGTATCATCTAATTTTTTCACAACTTTTTCTAATCTTTTATCTAAATCTTCAGGTATACGCCGCTCCATCTCAGGTGTAATCTTCCTCTTAAGGTATTCTTCTTCCAGATCCGGTGAATTTGTCCGACGCCACACTGCTATTTCCTATTATATGTATATAACATTAAAAATTAAATTCATAATTTAGAAAATAATAATAATAATAATAATAATAATAAATATGATATTACTATTTGTTCTTTGAGAAACATTTCTACCAATTGGTCATCTTTTAATATTGGATGCCTCGAAATAAAGTTCAAAAAGCGTGCCAATCCTTTCCGTCGTTTTTCCAAAAAAGATTCATCAACTGTGAAATAAAATCCGTTAACTAGATCAAACAAATATCGGATTATTCTAATATCCGATTTCTAACAGTCAATAGTTAATAGTCTATGAATTAAGAAATTTACCTCCAATCTTTTTTGGTGGAAGATCAGGTAATATACGATAAGGATATTTCTTTACTAAGCATTCCATTAGCCACCAAAAATCACTATATCTTCTTGTAACTATCGCTTGATGTCGCTTGATATAATATATATCACGTGTGATATAAGATAGTTGGCTTTTTTAAATGATTAAGTATTAAACAATTCATTATATTTGTATTTACCCGTGATTCGATAATATAATTTACATGTTTAAATAGAAAACCGTCTCTTTCTGGCGCGATCTTTACTGTAATAAGATCCATATCAAAAAACCACTGGAATTCGTCTTCGCTAGGCAACGTGGTAATAATCGCAGGAGCACTAATGTTGTTATTTATAGGAAAATTTGTCTGTTGAGGATATGCAGGATTTTGCATATTTGTAGAAGGCATAGCCCACGGGTCATCGGCTTGCAGAGGCATTGGTGGAGGACGTGAAGCAGAAAGGGAATTTAAATCACGATTGAAATTAAGGCTCCCTAAATTTGCCAAAATTGGTTCCGGGAGATCTGCACAAAAAAATTAAAGTATATTACAACAGATGAAATTTTCACAAATTTAGAACCACTTAAAACTTACCATCTTTTCTCTCAATTAATGTCTCAATTGAAACATCTTAAAAATTTAATTATAATAATTTCATGCTTAATTAAAATAACAACTACAGGTAAAACTATTAATCACAACTTTAAAATTTATTTACCCATATTCTTTTGTGCCAACGCCGTTAGTGCGAGAGCTATGTTAAATTCTCCACGATTTACACGAGTGCTATTTGCCGCAGCAGCCAGGTTTATAATCTTTTAAAAACAGATCATTTATCAATAAACCTAATTTATAGACATCATAACATCACGTAATACGTACTTTTTCAATCGTCGCGTGAGGCAGTCCACTAATGCATAAAATTTTATTCAAGGCAGAAATAGAAATTGACCCTCCGACTGGCGCCGCTTGCATAAAAGCATTATTATAAACTTCAGGCAATAGGACATCGGCTACATATGTTATAATATGTATCAGCACTAGCCTAAACTTATCGATAACAAATAAAAAAATAACGTACCCAAAATAGTTGAAGTCTCGGGCTGAGGAGGATCCCAAGGATTAATGTTGTTTAAGGAATCTGTAGTAAATGAAGCGGATTGACTAACTTCTGGGATTTCTGGGCTTGCCAAAACAGATGGTTGAAATTGTGGAGATTCAAAGAAAGAGACGGATAAAGCTTCTTCTTCTTGCAGCATTTTAAATTATAGTTGGTATTTCAAACGAAAAATTTTGATTGTGGGAAAAATTTTTTTTGTGGTAATTTATAGTTTAAACTGAGTACAGCATGATAAAGCTTTAGTAGTAAATCCATATTTATACTCCATTAAAGAATTTATATATGTTGTCACAAAAGTATTATACGGGTATCATTTATTTTATTTAATAGAATTGGTGTGACACCTTGAATTTTATTGCTTCTATCGTAAGTACTAATAAGGTTGTATACAATTAATATACTAACTATATAAAAAGTACATCTACATACATTTTAGAAAAAAACTTGCTACGGTAAGAAAACGTATTAGTAATAACGACTTTAAAATATATATTTTTGCTGTTTTTATGAAAGTGAGACGCCAATGTACATCAGTACATTTGCTCAAAGCCGAGTACCACACAGTATAATCACCTTATCAATAACCAAAAAAAATTTTCCAAAAATTAGTAGAAAAAATCCAGATTATAATAGCATTATCCCAGTTCAGTTATGCCTCATTACTGGTATAAAGCTCTCTGGACACGAACGTGAAGGTCATCAAACAATGCATAAGGTTATTTGTGCAAGCATGAATTTTATGGGATTATCGCATAAATGTTGTAAACTTCCACGTGATACTAAAAGTTATATCCGGACCACAAACTATTCAAGACCATGAATTTAACAATGCTTTCAAAATAAGGGTAAATTAGATCTTTAGATGGACCTCTTTCCTAGTGAAACCTCCAATCGCATCGAGCCACCATCAAATAAAATGATTACCGTGTTCGAAATAATGTACGTCAGGCGTCTCAGAATAGTGCGCATAGGTCGTTATTAGCAGTTACTCGATGTATGTATGTCATAAATCCGCAAACATCTTAAGCATGGTGTGCAAATAACAATTCAATAAGTATTAACGGTGCATTTTCATAGATTATTCATTTAATAGTTATTTTCCAAATATTTGTCTTTTTTTCGTTGTTTATTTAGCGCGTTTTTTGTTAACTTCAAGATCGAGTAAAAAGTTATTTTACAAGGTCAGAAAAACATTGACTTCAATGTTAATGTCAACGCTAGTTCCAACGTTGGCTTCAAAAGTTTGCACCAGCATAAGATGACACGTCACGAGACCAATTAGGTTGTGTAACAAAATCAAAGCAAAAAACGTTAGGATCCGGGTCAAAGTTGAATAATATTGAGTCATCACGTTTTTTAAAAAAATTCTTTTAACGTTACACAAACGTTACACCTGATCCCGCGATATGATTGGTCCCATAACAATGATACCGTAACCAAAAAAAAAAAAATCCGGTAATTTTTAAAAAACTTAGTTAAAATAATTTACATGAAAACAACCAATCAAAATGTTAAGCGGAAGGTCGGCTACGGAGCTAGATCGGCAGTGATCTGCAACTCCGGGTTTTTCTTGATATAAGGGTACCCCAACCCAATCAGCCTTTGGCAAATTATATGCGTACATCCTAAAAGACAAAATCCACGTGAAACCATTGAAAATAAAATATAATTTTGAAATGACACCAAAAAACGGTCACTCATTTACCTCGCTCTCATCATCAATAGCTTCTTTATCCACCCTGACGTACCAACTTGGCACCCATCCACGCTCATTATTTATTTCACAATACAACCAATAGTCTTGTCTTTTGTAAATGCGAAGCAAATCGTCTTTTTTCACGCTAAGTTCATCGTCTGTATTTCTCTTGTAATCAATCAAAGCTACTCCTCTACCAACATATGGACTGTCACTATCCATCATATCACCTCCATTAACGCTGGTTTCAAGCAAGAAATTTGCAGGCACCCAACCAGTCTGTCCGTCTCTCTCAACAAAACACCATCCCCCTGACCTGCTTCTAATTTTAAAAATATCTCCAACCACCACATTAAGTTCATCATCAAGTTCCGGAACATAAGGGTATATTGCAACGGCAGTTCCATTACCTTCTATTAATGTTTCTTCTGAAATTCGTTCTTCCGTCGATTCATAATCGGGTGGCGGTTCTTGGTGGGTATCTGGATATTCATTAGGTGCTGGTGGTAATTCTTTGTTCAAGAACTGTGTTGTACGTCGTTTCTTATTTGCTTTCAATAAACTAATTATTTCTTCTGCTGTCGCAATAGGTGATTTAATCTCTTTAATATTCTTTAACATAAATACCGGGTTCTGTGATGCCTCCTTTAATTTTTGGAACAATAATAAAGGCTTTTCATCATAGCTTAAACAACGCTCTGTTAGATGGTCTAGTGTCAAAAAGATATGTCATTGTTATTATTAAAATGTTATATTTGAATTAATAATAAAATATAACTCCATTTTTATTACCTGTACTGCCGAAACGAATAAACAACGCATATTGACGCCAATCATCTGCAATTTTATATTTTTTTAGCGCAGCAGGCAATACCTTGTGACATGGGTCTTCAAGTGATACACGAAAACTTTTATATGATTGATGATTTCCAAAGAAGTTAATTGCGTCATTTATAACCGGTGTTTGGTGAAAGCTCGCGCTTGGTCTCGACTAAAAACCTAATCCCAATTAGTATTCTGTTGAACTAATTCTAATACTTTGATCAAAAAGTCACTTACATCAAATTCATTGTTATAATGACGACGACTGTTACCACTATCATGCGGAGAGTGGGGTGAGGGTGGGGCGCTCGAACCATCAGATGAATATGTAGGCGATTTTGAAAAATTGGTAACACTTATCCCGGGAACTTGTACAGAAAGATTAGTCCTTGAAGTACTTGGAGTATTCAAATTGTCAATGCTGTTTCGTTCTGGTTCGGGTAAAGGCTGTAAACATTCATTTTTTTTTTTTTACATGAAATGAAAATTAAAAGAATGTTTATCAAGTTATGATATACAACAACCATTCATTATAGAACCTTATTTTCTTTTGCCATTTTCAAAACCGGTATCATCTCTTCACGTAATTTTGCCAATTCAGATGATAATCTTTGTACTTCTTTCGACAAATGCGAAATAAGAGCATCTAATTTTATAACAAAGATGTTAATAAAATTAGGAATTTTTAAAAAATTTTTTTATAAACAACCATTAACATGCTCACCTCTTTCTTGGATTGCACCTTCGATTTTACGAAGGTCTGGGACGCCATTTGTAACATTCATTGCCTAAAGCCGATAATATTAACAAAATTTCAAGATAATGAAATACTATTGAACACATACATACACTTTCAAATTCTGCCGCTAAAATATGAAGGAAGCTATTTGTGAATAATTAAGTCTATTATTATTTAATGAAGATACAGAGGTACTCGACTTACAAGGAGGAACGTATTGGCCTAACTCAATGGGTACGTTATGTTGTATTTTCAAGTTGTAAATGGCCTTTAATATAGAAATTCGGTGACCAACTGACCGAACACCAAGGTCTTTGAGTCCCTCATGATCCAAAAGAACCAAGATCTCTCCATTTATGTCCTGTTCTATAATATAAAATCGAGATGATAAGGCAATTTAATCGGGAGGTACATGCTACAAGACGGATGCCTTCTAAACTACCTTTTATCTGCGATTCATAATTTGGGAAGCCAAGGGAAGCAAACCAGGAATGCACCCTGTTTACATCCCACTTAGTGACAGTTTCGCTTTGTCGGTCCATAGGCATAAGTGTTTGATGTGTAAAAGGTGGTTTTGTTCAAGTTAAAATGAAAGTAAGGTATTATAATTCAATAATTTTCCTGAAGTTGGAAAAAACATGGGTTCAAATAAGAGAATACGTAAAGCGTGTGACATCCTGTATTACTAACTGGCAAATACAAACGATCCTTGTAAATTACGTTTGTACGCTGCACTTGTTTCGAATTCGGGCATACACATCTTTACTTGGGACAGTCATAATCATGTGACACGAAAATAATTTGGCTTTAATTAGTAGTCATTGGTCAAAGGGTTTTTAGTCAAACTGGTCTGGTACCAAATTAACAAATCAGGCTAATCTAACAAATTTGATTATAGTTAAATTGGTCTGATTGTTAATATAACTAGAATATTTGACAACTTGACCAATGTCAAAAGATGCTTGACAAGACTGGTCATAGGTCAAATTGGTCTGGTCAAATGGCCGAATAGGTTTGGTTATCCCAACACCAATTTATATATTTTTTAATAAGATTATACAAGAGAATTTTAACTAAAGATTTTTTAGATACTGTACTATAGTTATCGCCGGTATCGCATACGTATCTATAATTTTTGTACTAACATATTACTGTATTATAACACTTGTGTTACAGTATTAACTAAATCGTGTAACAATTATATTGCAATGCTATATAAGGAATCGGTTAATAGTTACATTATATGTGAAACCGATTTAATGATTTACTATGATCGGTTTTCAGGTTTTCACTCTTACGCACTCATATAATCTACATCTATATAAAGAAGCGTACTTACTAGCATTAAAAATAAATCCTAAACCCTCTAAACCCTAACACTAACCCTAACCCTAATTCTTATTAGTTTTATTGACTAATTGGCTTTTATTATAATTAGTATACAAGTCAATAGAGCCGTTTTGCATTTTTAAAATCCATTTATATTTGTGTAATCTTTTAAAAATATGCCTTATAAAAGATTTTTATACAACAGAAATAGAAAACTTGCTATTTCAGTTAGCTCACTTAGATTTGAATATTGCTAATTAAAACCTAAAAACCTAAAAACAGATAATGTATGAAATTTTTTTTTTGATTTTACCTCTTTTACTATTCTGAAGATCTTTAGACATCTTTAGGATCTGTCACATCTCTTAAAGGTCAGAGTTATTATTCTGCAGAGATCATTGGATAGCAGGTGGTTCTTATATTCATTATCATACTTGTAAGATAGCTCATGCTTTGTTAAGTCCATCATATGATGTCCTGGATTTCTAGTTTCATAATATAGAACCTATTGTCTTTATTCAGTTTGCAGTTCTCTAACTTCACATGACTCACTAATTAAATTGTTTTTTTATTATTCATTTTTTTATATTACTTTAAATTGGGAAACCTTATATTAATGATATTTATTATCAGATTTTCTCTTTTTTGGATGTCACATGACCTTTGTGGCTATGTTACACAACTTATTTATCATTGTAGTAATCTATCTGAAAGCAGAAAGTTCCTTTTAAAGATTATTTTCAATCATGGTCCTGGCACAGCTTTTATCTCTCAGTTGGATTTGAACCAGTAACCTTGCGATTGTGACCTCCAGAGCATTAACTATTGTGTTATTGACCTAGAGGTCTTATAATGTATGAAATTTATAAATACCTTATTTTAGATTTTCAGGTTTTCACTTAATAACACTTATTTCAAAGTTAATATTAATTTTTAATTAGCTTTAAATTAGAAGAATTTTAATTTAAAATATAATTGTCTGAAGTATAGTGAAGAACTTACATTTTAGATACTTAGTCAACTTTTGTCTATTTGTTCACCTATGTGAATACATGGTGTTACATAACACATACTAGATGTCTAAATTGAATTTTGTTAGACATCCTTAAAATGTACTCAGATATAAGCTTTTAACTTATGACCAAAAATAAATAAATTAAATTTAAAATAGTCATCATGTGCTAACTAATCTTAACCTTAAAAAACTAAAATTGAGACACAGAATAATAACCTCTACTTCAGATATATTTTTCAATTTTGTCTATCTGTACATCCACATGATCATACTTATCACATGATACATACTAGATATTTAAACCAAATTTTGTTTATATGACTAATTATAAAAATGATGTATTAATTTTTTTAATTCATTTTGGATTTATAATAGTATCTGTTTTTCTAGAATATTATTATTAACATGCATATATACTATTAACACTAATGTCAAACATACTTATATATTGTAAATATATAGAAACAGATTTTTTTTTTTTACTAAAATTGATGTCATCAGTAGTTACAACCTTTATTTTGTTTTAATTAATACATTACATTAGCTTGTACAAGATAATTGTACAACTAGTCATATACTTAACTTTTAGTTATTTATTTAAGTAGTCTATCCAAAAGTTTTATACTAGTTGTTATATCTGTAATCTGTTAAAAGATTATTTATTTAAATACTTTGATCTTTATACTAGTTCTTATAAAATTTGTTCAGATCTCAGTACTTATTTTACAACATATCTCTAGTGCTTTTAGTATATCCTGTTTTAACTCAATATTATATATTTTCTTCAGTTCAGTTCTGGTAGCCTGGTTAGTAATATTCTTCATTTTGAGATTCTTGTTTGTTTAACTTCTTTATATTAGTATCTGTTTTCTAGATCTAGTCTTTATAACAATACTATTAAAGATTTATATTATCTTTCTATTTAGGTTTTTTCAAATATATAGGTTTTAGTTTTTTTAGTTTTATAAATTTATATAATCACAAGAACTTATTTTAGATTTGCATTATCTGGTATTAGTTTGTATTTCTTTGTATAACTAAGATTATACAAATGTCTTATAACCTGCTAATTATGTTAATATAATTATAGTTATAGGTATTCTATCTCAACTGATTTACAAAAAAGTCATTATTATAATATATAAGTATTATATATATAATTATCTAAATTTTTTACTATTAGTGAGTTTTGAACTTACAATTTACCACTTGAGAGGTTGATAACTTATTCTCTTTGCTAAGTTGTTATACTCTATTTTTAATTAAATTAAAATTATTTAAATTAAAACATAATAAATTCAAAATTTAATTCTTATTTTAACAATATAGAATATATTCTATGACTAAGTATGAAGAGTTCAGTGTGAAAAGGTATAAGAATAAGAAAAGAAGATTAATATAACAAGCAAAATAAAAAAAGGTATTCAAACTAAAAAAAGATTAGAAAAAAGAACAAAAAAGAATAAGATGACAAAAGAAGAAAAAAAAAAAAGAAAGTGAAAAAAATAAACTGAATCAAGAAAAAAGCTTGGAAGGTAATTAATATGCTTGTTACAAAAAGAGAAAGACCTTTCTAGTATAACTTTAAGTAGTTAGATGAGCAGTCTATCTTTAACTAAGATAGTATAACAGGTTGCATTTAAATACTAATAGGATGGTCAAGTAATGCTAGACTTGAGTATTAAGAATTTCTATGTAATTATAAATATACTGTGTATAGTTTTAAGAATCTTAATAAAGTACTAGCATAACTGCTTAAGGTTAAAAAAAAAAAAAAATTCTTACTTTGATTTTAATTTTATGTAATATATAATTAATATAAGGTTTTATTATAAATATTATTATTAGACCATTTTATTTTATAAAAATACTTATTATAGAATTTGAACTCTAAACCTGCCACTTAAAAATTAATTATATGATTACTTCATTATGTTATCATATTTTACTTAATTGTACTATTTTAAAGACTAGTTTAAGAAAATAGATACCAATATTAAAGTACTCAAATAGGCAAGAATTTTTAAGTTAAAAGTTCTGAAAATATTATCTAAAATAAACTGAAAAAAAGAATATTGAACCAACCTAATATATTAATAAACTGGTCATAGTTCTATACAGACTATTTGAATTGAAAATCTGAAAACAGACAGAAGTATACTAAAGTATTTAAAATATGCTATGAAGTAGATATTAAGATTTGAATAAACTCTACAAAAGCATAACAGTTAAATAATATAATTTTGATTTTAAATATTAGTTCTGCCAAAGTGATATCAGGTCAGATATATATAAAAATAGATGCAAAAGACTTTAGAAGATTTATTTCAAGAATAAAATAGATCTAAAGTTAAGATAATGATTTGAATTTGATTTGATTTTTAAAAAAATTTAAAATTTTGATTAATAAAAAAAAAACTTAATTTATAAAAAATTTTATTATATTAATTAATTTTAAGCTTTTAAGTATTTATTTAAACAAAATACTTTTAGTTTTATAAAATAAAAAAATTTATTTGTCTTAATAAAATTTTAAATAAATAACTTATAATTTTAAATATTTAATTATAAATTTTTAAATTAAATCAAATATTTGTTAAATTAAATTAAATTTAATCATATTTAAATTTGATTTAATTTACAAATTTTAGATTTAAATTTGATTTAAACTTAAATATTTAATTAAATTAAATCAAAACAAATTAAATTGCAAAACTTTAATCATTAAGTTGTCATTTTCTAAATAACAAATCTAATATTCAAATTTCATATTCAAATTTTATCTATAATAAATTTAAAAATTATATTTGTATTATAATAACTATCTTCTGTTAATCAATTAATTTTATATAATTATAACTCAAATATATTAAATTTAATAACTTAAAAGCTTAAAGCATCTATATAAAATATAACATTACATATACATAAAAGAATGCTTACTGATATTGCATAAAACTTTAGTATAAATCTGTAATAAAATCTATAAAAAACAAAAAAACTAAAATGATAAAAATTTACTTAAAAATTTTTAAGTAACAGTTAGTAAAAGATAATAAAAAAAATGTTAGAAAGATAAATACTAATATTTTAGTAAATTTTACTAAGATAAAAATAGTATAATGTAGTAGTTAAACAGATAACTATTATAACTGCAAGTGTTAGATAACTATAGCATATTGTATAAAACTAAGTTAGCTGTAT